TCCTGACATAGGAATTCCCTGTTCCCACTCCATCAAATGTAAACTATCAGGGAGAGAAAAGCTTTCCAGGCAGGAAGGAACAGGTAAGTGGATGCGAGGGGAATAAAATGAAGGGCAAGTCTCTCACCAGGTTATTCTTACACAAGGATTATTATTATAATTACTATTATTATTATCTGCATGTGGCAACAAAGGGAGAGTCCTCTTGACATGAAAGGCACTAGACAAATGTAATTTGTTAATAATAATCCTTGTATTTGATATAGCGCCTTATCAAATCTTCGAGACACCTCAAAACTCTACAGAATATGCTATAAAATGAATTGACTGTACATTTTGTGGGCAAAACGCAGCAACCAATTGCCACAGCAGCGTCCCACAAACATTTGTGGATTGAGTGACCAATTTATTTTTACATTTTTTTTGAAGGAATCATTAGCCCCGGAAAAGCCATCCACCAATCGACTAACAACTGGATTCTTACTTACTCCTAGGTAAACAGAGGCGTGTGTGTGGAGTAAGGAAACTTGCCTAACGTTTCGCCCTGCCAGGAATCGAACCCAGGTCTCTCGCTTGTGAGGCAAGTGCTCTAACCACTTAGCTACAGACTCCACTTGTTGTGTTGTTGAGAGAAATACAAATAAATGGTTCAAATTTACTCAAAAGTGAAGTTAACTCCCTCACTCCGCTGACCTATGACTTCACTTCAACTCGTTCAACAGTTTTAACCTCAGACACAAGAAAAGTTCAGTCCAAATTTTCCACTAACATGTGCACCACTAATATTAAACACTAAATCACAGCTGAACAAAACTTTAGCTTTTCTTTGGCTCCAAACTTTCCAACTTTGTTTCCAAACCTCTTCTTGAACTTACGTACTTAACAAGGAACAAAGATCTCCAGAGCAACAGCACCACCAGCTGGAACCAAACGACAGAGGACAAACCAAAATATTTTTTAATGCAACATACAATGTCCCAGGAATCCCCAAGAGAAGCGTGTAACCAATGCCCAATTCTTTGCTTCTACTGGAGTACAACCTCAACAACAAAACTAGTGTACAGTAAATAGTTTGGGACATGATATGTGCATGCGACTGCAAGGATGGTTGAAGGCAAACTGGATGAACCTTGGTTCTTAGTGAGAACTACAGGGGAAACTGCTTGCCAAGATTGCCCAGTTTTTTAAAAAAAAAATTACATGTTTGCATTCACGTTTAGAGGTTATGGGGTAATAATAAAGTTGGCCTAATATTTGAGTGTATACTGTACTACTGTAATAGGGTCTTTTTCAGCATTACAGCTGAATACACTCATCAGGTCGCAGAGTTTCTTTGGACCTTGCAGTAGAACAAGGGCAAATCTCGAATTTACAAGTTCGTCCAGAAACAAACGAGATTAATATTTTCTCTACAACCGCGAAGAAGGCTCAGGGCCAGGGAAATGTTCGGGGGGGGAATTCATTTCACTTTGAATAACCTCTCCAAAAGTTATTCCAACACATTTAAACAAATTTCACACATCAGAGGAGTGGATTTGGGCAGACACTGGCTGCATTCTGTCAAACTCAATCCATCACAGCCGGTCAGGATAATGGCAGCTGTCAATCTCCAGCCTGGAACCGAGATACGCGATCAGGGACTCTCAGTGAAAGCTCTCCTCAGATTGGAGCATGTTTCAAGGTCGCTCTTGCGACTATTTTTTTAAAAATTAATTTGGTCACTCAATCCATGACTGTTTGTGGGACGCTGCTGTGTGCAATTGGCTGCTGCGTTTCGCCCACACAATATACAGTCAATTCACTTTACAGTACATCCTGTGAAGCGCTTTGAGAAGTCTCAAAGACATGATACGGCGCTGTATCAAATGCAAGGATTATTATTATTAATTAGCTAGAGCAAAGCGATTATATCCAGATGGCATTTTCCAGCTAAGTGTTACAAGAGGCTTTCAGAATCCATCAAGGTGCAAAACAGGCTACTAATGATAATTCCCTTCACCATTAAGTCTCCTCTACCCTGCCCCCCCAAAACCACCACCTCCACATATTGAAGTGACCCACTCGCCAGCCTCTGTTATGATAGGCATGCCCCGGGCAACACCATCATTAATCTTCCTCCCCTGTGGAGAGCTCTTTGAGATTGGAGATTTAACTATGGCGTTCACTTCCTCCTGTCCCTCGGCACATTATCCATCTGGATCACCAACACGCCAACTGACAAGCCTTTCGGACCACTTCACTTTATAAACATTTCAGCAAACTCTCTCATTCAAATGCTTTTGGGACATCCTCCCCACGTGAAAGGTGCTGCTGTATGGAAATGTAAAATTTTTATTAAGTAGAAAACCTGGACCGAACAGTCAACAGGAAAAGTGTCTGTTGATGACTAACTTGTTGCTAACCTCGAGAAGTAGGTGGGAAAAAAGTAATAACACAAGGGCAGGAACTCTCTCGTCTCTGTGGTGCACATGATCCCTCATCTAAGACAGACATCTTTCATGTCAGGAGAACTTCTCAAAGTGCTTAACAATGCCCGATGGGCACCTGCGCTGGCACATCACAAAACAAAACCCACACAAGGTAGAACCTCACGAAGAAACTTTTTTTTCCCCCACAAAAGAAACATTTGTGCTAAACAAAGGACCCAGGTCACATCAGCAGATATCCTAGATTACAACTAATATGCCAATTAAAGGAAATACTAAAGCTACAGCTGTATTTTACCCCTTTACAGAAATGTACGAGTGGTCTGAAAAGTTAATTTCATACTCCGACGCACAGCTGTCACTCTGTCGATTAGTCACACCTCATTAATTCTCATTTGTGACTCATTAGTAATTGTATTACAATTACAATTACAATTACAGAGAGCTTTCAGCCTCTCTGCCTCCACCCTTTGGAACTCCATCCACATTCCCTTCACCTGGCTCCCTCCTTTGACTCCTTCAAGGCAAGTCTCAAGATCCTCCTCTTCAACCGTGCATTCGGCCACCTTCCTACCCTCCCTGCCTGCCCACTACCCTCCCTGATTCCAAACCCTGCTTGGGTTCAGGTGCATGATTGTCTAGGGCCTTGGGACTTCACCCCGACTTGAAAGGCGCTACATAAATGTAATTTTGAATTGTATTGTGTGCTGTGTGCTAGATGCAATGCAACTCTCAATTATCTAAACACCTTCCGCAGGATATCAAGTAGACCCAGCTCAGTCCTCTTTGATTCACCTTTTAAAGAAAGCTGCAAAATTAATGAGGATATAGGTTCTCTCTAAAAAAAAATTGATCCTGTAGTCTGGAACACTGCACTGACTACTTCAGGGTAGAGAAGCAGCTAGAAACTCCCTCTTCTGTGAAAGTCAGAAGAAAAGTTTGCTTGTGCAATCTGAATTACAGGGAACTGCAGGCGGGCCCAAGATGTTGGATTCATTTAAGAATGACTTGATTCTGTAATACGACGTCAGGAGGATGGGTATTATGGAAGGGCAAGATCAACTGGACTGAATCATCTTCTGAATCTATTGCAACACAACTCCCCAATGTGCACCATTTTACAGCCCACTTTCCACTTTTGTCTCAGGGCTGAGACATTTACGAATATTTACGAACAAACTTGGACAGCAGATGTTAGTACGCTACTGCGAGCAGGCAACAGCAAAGCCCAGCTATCCTCACTCAACAACCACAGCCAACCCCATCCGGTATGGGCACAAGACAGGAATCTGAAGGGGATTACCCTGACTGACTACCTACCCCCTTTCCCATCGGTCTCATATCCCAATTAGTTTGCCCGAGTGGGCAAAACTAGGTTTCACTCAAATGGTGGGTATAAAATGTAAAACAAGGAAACTTCACTTATGCTTCAATACTGAAAACCACAGCAGGAAGCCGGTCAGGTGTGGCTTACAGACCGAGGCATCTGGTTGTCCCACAGAGGCAACAGCAAACACACGCTTATTGTGCTATGATTAATGATGTCGTATCGACCCACATCAAGAGTAAAGACAGGATAATGAACTTAACTGGCAGTTCTGAACACCTTCATTAAGAGTCGAGCTATTCGTCTGTGTGGATGGAATCACCTACTTTCTGCAGTCAGGAGACCCCAATCATCAGAAAAACCTTTCCCTCACTCTGGCTGCTCTTGTCGACTACCCATTGACATTCACAACTTGCTATTTACATAAACGGCCTCGTTTCTCCTCAACCGCAGCTGATTAGAAACATCTAGATGTGAGGTGGAGAAGAGGTGAGGCCGTGTATGTCAAGGTTAAGCAGTCTGTTGAGTCTCTCAGATCTTAATGCATTCAGTGGCAAGATACCAAGCCAAAACTAGCTCCTTCTCCAAGGGCCAGACGGGGAGAAGAAATCAGAGGTAGAATTCTAACTGGGCCTTTGTCACAACGAATAGCAGCTGGGTTTAAGAGCACTATTGGAAGGAACATGTCTGCTCTGAGTTAAAGGATTCATGTGGCTCAGACAGATCAGAAGAGTAGATGATTACCAGCCTGGCTCAGCTAGTAGCACTCTCACCTCCAGGTCAAAGGATATGAATGCAATACCCCACTTCAGGACTTGCGCTCATATTCCGGGCTAACATCACAATGTCGGAAAAGAGATCTCTTGGACGAGAGCTTAAGCCAAGATCTGTTCTGCCTGTACTTCAGGTGGATATTAAAGATCCTAAGGCACGCTTCAAAAAGAGAAGAGCGTTTCTCTTGGGATCCTGACAATCATCAAATTGGGACCCACAACATTCTGACCCAGGAGTAAAAGTGCTATTATCTAAGGTAAGCCAACATTGATGTTATAATAAGACATGGTAATAGTCATTGCAGATGTAAGTGAGTGAATGGGAATGAAGCCCACAAACAGATCGATTATATTTTAAGGTGTGCCTCTGTCAATACGTCGCCCCTTAACTGCTGTCTTGGTGACCAAAGCTTAGACTAACTATTTTTAAGATGCATACATTTTAAACATTAAAAGCAAAATTTGCTGCGTTACCTCCTCAGTAAATTTTCTTCCGAGTTTTCTTCAGGCATTTCTTGGTTTAAGGCCTCTTGTGAAACATTCGACATTCTGTTTGATGCCGACTGACTGTACACCCGCTCCCAGTGTCCTGTCTCATTGTTAAATGTTAGACCCATTGTGCGTTCCGCTTGTTGGCTGGAGCAGTGGCGGGCGAGTCTGCCCTCTGTGCCACCCAGCCCGTGGGCTCTGCCCCCCGCACCCCGGCTTTGTGGCACCGGGGGCTGGCTGCTGCCCTGCCCTAGTGGTTCGTAACTGTTTGGCACGTGCCAGGAGCTGCCCTCGGAGGAAAAAAGCTGCGTGGTCCTCTCCCACCGCTGGGTGTCATGGTTGAAGGTCAGAAGGTTGTGGCAGGCGCGACAGCGGCTGAGGTGGCCGCCAGACGAGCCGGAGGTGTTCTCTCCGTTCGGCTGCGACGGCCTGGGCCGGTCGGGTTCGATGTTATTGTTGAGGATCTCCTGCACCTGTTGAGATTGCTCAGGGTCCGCTCCCACCTGCTGCTCGGGGTCCTGAAAGCGATCCATCTCCATGAAGTAACGGCTCAGGTTGCACCGGAGAACATTGCGCTGGGTGCTGGACCTCTCCTCGACCGGGGGGCTGCTGGCGGGCCCCCCTCCGCTGGTGGTCCCGGGCACCGTGGCACCTCTCCCCTCAGAAGCCAGCGTGTAAACGGGTTGGGTGTTGGCCTCCTGCTGCCTTAGCACAGAGAGCAAGCTGACCGACGAGGCGCTAGTCCGAGGGGGAGGCATGCTCTCCAGCTCGGACCTGGGCGACACGCTCAGCATAGTCCTCGTCCAGTCGGCTCCGCTTAACCTGGAACTGGTTTCCCTGTAACCCGGGCTGGACTGCGGCAGCCCGCTGGCCTGGTACGCCCCGTGCCCCAGTAAACCTCTCCTATTAGTGGCTGCCGACAGATTGCGGAGGGAGTTGCCGGAGTTCTCGTAATTGACGCTGCTGAAGGCGGAAGGGCGGTCGGGAGGCCGAGGCATGGGCTGGGACAGGGGTCTCTCCGGAGGGACGCGGGGTTCGGTCCGGGCCGACGTGGAGGTGGCCGCGCCATCTTCGCTGGGGACAGAGGAAGAGGAGGACGATGACCTCAGGGCCGAGCAGCGGCTGCAGAAGCAGACCATGCCCATGTGGTGGACGCACTCCTGCACGGGGTAGCTGAAGCGATCGCGGAGCACGGCGTACACCGAAGTCCTGCTACTCTCGCCGGCCGGCAGGGCGCTCTCCTCGCTCTGTCCCGGGTCCCCGTTGGCGCTGCCAGGCGACCGGGACGACAACATGTGCAAGAAGTTGTGAAGTAGCGGTGTCCGGCGGACGGGCTGCGATTGGAGGAACGATCGCTGCCGGGACGGAGAGGTTTCGAAGCTATCCAGAGAGTTTTCACCATCGTCGTCATTCTAATAAGAAACATAACATAAGCCAGTGGGGAAAAAACACAATCAGCTCTGTATACGAGAAAATTGCTACCAGTTGAGGCTGCAGTTCAGTAAACTGCAGAAGAACTCTTAATAATCTTTACATTTGATACAGCTCCTCATCACATTGCTGAGACATCTTAAAGCGCTTCACAGAATACACTGTAAAAGTGAGCCGACTGTATACTGTGTGGGTGAAACCCAGCAGCCAATTGCGCACAGCAGTGTCCCACAAACAGTCGTGGATTGAGGACCAAATTATTTGTTTATTTTGGAAGGGATCATTATACCCGGAAAGCCATCCACCAATCGACTGACAACCAGGTTCCTGCTTACTGCTAGAGGCGTTTTCCTAGTCAGCAAAACTGAAAAACACTTTTATTTTTACCATTTTAGGTCTGACTCGAAAGAGGTGCCTGAAGTCCAACGCCAGGGAATAGGTTTGCACTTCCCTGTAACAAACCCTTTCTGTGGTTTACGAGGGCCTCTAGTGGCTGAGCTCTGCCAGTTCAGCCAACAATGGTCTGCCTCATACCGAATGGAGCCTGAATCGCAGGGCTTGTAAAATAGGGCCATAGGATCAGGGGGAGGCCATTCAGCCACCTCGAGCCTGTTCCGCCATTCTATAAAATGATAGCTGATCTGAACCTCAACTCCATTTACTCGCCCTTGCCCCATGTCCTTTGATCATCTGACCGAACGAAAACCTATCCACCTCAGTCTGGGGATGGAGGAAGGGGGAACTGAAAAGGGGCGGCAGTTAGCAAATCCTAGGCGCATCAGGGACAACCACTTGGTAGCTTCGGATGCCAGCTCCAGGCAAGTCGGACCTGAGATCAGGGGCTCGGCTGTGACGTGTCCTTTTGCAACTCAAGCAATTCAGACCCATCGTCACGTTTCACAAGCTTGAGAACATAGCTTGCTCCACGCGCTCAGCGTGTTAAGACAGTAATAATACTTGCAGTTGGTACAGCGTCTTATTACATCTCAACACGCTTCATAGAATATACTTTAAAGTAAAGTGACTTTGTGGGCGAAATGCAGTAGCCAATTGCGCACAGCAGCGTCCCACAAACAGTCATGGATTGAGTGACCAATTTTTTTAAAATTTATTTTCGATGGGATTATTAACCACAGAAAGCAATCCACCAATTCTCTAACAACCGGGTGCCTACTTCTTGCTAGGGAAGTAGAGGCGTATGGAGTAAGGAAACTTGCGATGAGTCTATGAACCTCACCTAAATTCAAATTATACACAATTCAGCAAATACAGAGGTTTACTAATTTTACAATTTTTGAGTGTTGGCTCTGACATTGCATCTCCTAATACAGTGGGAAAAGCAGCCACATTCTCTCTCCACAGCACAATGTCCTTGGAATCTGAGGACTATAAATATATGACCTAATAAAAATAGCTGAAACACTAAAAACTTATCAATGGCATTATCACATCAGCTCCTGACCATGCTTATAAATCCACACCATTTCAACGAGCATCTGTTCATACATTGGGCTGTGAATGAATGTCTCACTGTTAAGGGATGAAATACAACGGGGATTAATTTTTCCAGTACTGCTGACTGAATAATTCTATTAATTATTTTGTAACATGCATAACTACCAGTACCCTCTGGATAGAGATAATTCCTTTATCGTCTGTTCTAAATTCACTCCCTCTTTGTGTCCTCTTTGCTAACTTTTACGATAATGCCTAGCTTCAAGAAATAAACTGAAGCTACAATAACAATACTAATTGGGGGTAGCCTTTGCCTTTCCACCACTACAAACAGCAAAAGCAGAAAGATCTGTAGCAGTAGCCAATAAAAAGCAACACAGCCAGTCTAGCTAAGTTTTCCTCCACCAGCATTTACTATACCCTGACTGGGCTCGAGTTGTGTTCACAGGACTTCTCTCCAATCAGTTACACAACTATAGCTAACCTGGTCCTTCCATGACATCTACACACAACTAGTGATCAGGAGAGGATCGCATGAATAATTTACCATCCAAATTTAGTGAGATCAAACCCAGGACCACTGCTACTCACAGAATAATCTCACCAAGGCACCTTTAATTAGTTGCACTACACCCCTCTAAACAGAGAGAAGGGAAAAGGTTCTAACAAAGAACAAGCCACAACAGTACCTGTTGGTTGGAGGGATTAACGATGGCTGTCAGAAGGTTGTGTCCCAGTGAATCAAATCTTACCAACCTGTAAAATACAAAGAGACATCATCGATCACGGCAACATTAGAGGAAAATGACAATTAACTGAATACGCGAGCCAAATTCTGTGGAGTTTTGTGGTACGGACTGTCAATCAGAAACTGGGTGAGCAATGCCCAAAGAATACAACAGAAGTAAGTATCAAAGCACTTTACACGGGGTGGGGGGAGCGGGGGGTGAAGGAAGAACAAAGAGCTGAGGGGAGGGGGTGGAAAGTGCAGTAAAAGAGGCAAGTAGGCCAGCAGACAAAGGAGACCCTCTGAGCTGGGTTCAAACCCAGATCTCAGAGAGATATAGCTGCAGAGAGCACAGTTCCCATGAGGAGGGAACTGAGTGAGGTGGAACAGAGTGAGAATTCTGTTAAGAAATTTGGTGAGAGTGGGAATTCAGTGCAGAGAGGGTATAAGGTGCATAATTATAAAATATATAAGTTATAAAATAATCTAAAACATGCCTGGGAATATGGTAGGGCAGGCGAGAACGGTTTGCATGCATAATGTGTACCACGTGGGAACTCCAGGATGCTTTGTGTGCCCTGGACAGACATGTCTGAGGAAGTGCCTCTGGCTGCTCGAGCTCAGGGTTTCTGACCTCGAGGAGATGCTGGAATCACTAGATAGCATATGGGAGGCTGAAGAGTTCATGGATCAAACGTTTCGGTAGGTGGTCACCCCACAGCGGGTTCAGAAGGAGAATGAGTGGGTTACCACCCAGCATGATAGGAAGAGGGGACGGGCAGTGCAGAAATCCCCTGAGAGTGTGGCACTCACAAACCAGTTCTCTGTACTGAATATCGGTCAGGGTGATGACACCTCTGGGGAGGGGAATCAAAAGCAAATGGATGCACACAGGGAAGGGTATCAATGCAATTGTCATTGGGAATAGTGGTGAAAGGTGTAGACAGGCATTTCTGCAACCAAAGACATGACTCTCGCATAGTATGTTGTTTCCCTTGTGCCAGGGTTGAAGACATCACAGAACAGGTGCAAAACGTTCTACAGGGGGAAGGGGAATATCCAGAAGTTGTGGTCCATGTTGGGATCCATGACGTAGGGGAAAAAAAAGGCTGAGATCCTACAAGGAGAATACCAGAAAATGCTAAAGAGTAGGACCTCAAAGGTGGTGATCTCTGGATTATTCCTAGTGCCTCGTGCAAGTGAGTATCAAAACAGCAGGATCAAGCACATGAATGCATGGCTTGAGAAATAGGGCAGAAAGGAGGGCTTCAGGTTCCTGAATCATTGGGATCAGTTCTGGGACCTGTACACCTGAACAGGACTGGGACCAATGCCCTCGCAGGGAGGTCAACTAGTGCTGTGGGGAAGAGTTCAAACTGATTTTGAGGGGTAAGGGAATCAGGTAAGGAAATCAGGATGTAGCATTAGAGAGGACAAGCAAGTTACATAGAGGGCTGGGAGAGACCAATAACAATATAAGGAGTAATCCAGAAAAAGGAGGGATTAAGTGGGGGAGACGTGCAGAACAGACTAAGTCGGGCTTGGAGAGCATATGCGTAAATGCACGGAGTGTGAGAAATAAGATTGCTGAGCTGCGGCTCAAGTTACCACATGGGGTTATGATGTAATGGCAATAACGGAGAGCTGGGTCAAACAAGAACAGGAATGCGAGCTGAATATTCCTGGCTACAACATATTCAGAAGGGACAGGGAAGGAAAAAAAGGAGTGGGTGGGGTGGCAATTGATTAATGACACGGTTACGGCCCTGGAAAGGGACGATATGCTAGAGGGTCAAAAACATAATTTGTTGGTTAGAGTTAAGGAGCGCAAAAGGAGCTGTTACTCTGTTAAGTGTATACTGTTGATCACCAAATAGTGGGAAGGAGATAGACGAGCAAATCTTCAAGCAGATTTCAGAAAGATCCAAACCAATAGAAGTAGTGATTATGGGGGACTTCAATTATCCTAACATAGACTGGCAAAATAACAGTGTAAAGGCCAAGGAGGGGAAGGATTCCTGAAAAATGTACAGGATAACTTTCTGGATCAGTATGTTTCCAGTCAACAAGGAAGGAAGCAGTGCTGGATCTAGTTCTGGGGAATGAAGTGGGGCAAGTGGAGCAGATTTCAATAGGAGAGCATCTAGACAACATCACAACATCATTAGATTTAGAGTATTTATGGAAAGGGACAAGGAGCAATCAAAGGTGAAGATAATCAACTGGAAGAGGGCTAATTTCAATGAGTTAAAAAGGGAAAGAGTCAAGGTGAAATGGAAAGAAAGATTGGTAGGTAAAACAGCTAACCAGCAAGGAAGCCTTCAAGGAGGAGATCGTTTGGGGACAGAGCAAATACATTCCCACAAAGGAGAAAGGTAGGGCATCCAAAACTATCTGGATGAATAAGAAAATTGGGTTAAATAAAACACTAAAAGATGGCTTATGATAAATGTCAGGTCCAAAATGCAGAAGGTAATCAAATAGAGTATAGAAAGTACAGAGGAGAACTGAAAAAGGAAATAAAAGGAGCAAAGAGATTATATGAGAAAAGATTGGGGGAATACTAAAAGATTAGTACTCACAAAAGATGAGGATGCAGCCAATGCCATAGTATCGGAAGAGAGGGTAGAGAAATTGGATAAGATAAAAATAAACCTAGAGGAGGTACTAAAATGGTTGTCGGTGCTCAAGGTAGATAAGTCAGCCGGTACGGACGGGGTGCAACCTAAATTACCGAGAGATGGGTGGAAATAACAGGAAAACGCAAAATACTGCGAATGCTGAAAATCGGAAATAAAAACAGAAGTCGCTGGGTACACTCAGTAGGTCAGGCAGCATCTGTGGAGAAAGGAAAGTGAGTCAACATTTCAGGTCCACAACCCTTCGTCAAAACGCTGACACTTTATCAAACGCCTTTTGAAAATCCATATAAAACTACATCAACTGCACTATCTTCATCCACCCTCTCTGTCACTTCATGAAGGTAGTGCAGTTGATGTAGTTTATATGGATTTATAAAAGGCGTTTGATAAAGGGCCAGCGTTCTGACAAAGCGTCGTGAACCTGAAACGTTGACTCACTTTCCTTTCTCCACAATGCTGCCTGAGTGTTCCCAGCAACTTCTGTTGGAAATAATGGCCACAACCTTTCAATCCTCCATAGACACTGGGATAGTGCCAGTGGACTGGAGGGTTGCAAATGTTACTCCCTGTACAAAAAGGGGTAGAAGGATAAACCTGGGAATTACAGTCTCAGCCAAATGTCAGTAGTGGGGAAACTTCTAGAGAATATAATCCGGGACAAAATAAGTTTTCACTTAGAAAAATATGGGTTAATAAAGGACAGCCAACACGGATTTGTTATAGGCAAACCATGTCTAACAAACCTGATGGAGTTTTTTTTGATGAAGTGATGAAGAAGATAGTACAGTATGAATTTTCAAAAGGTGTTTGATAAAAGTGTCACATAAGAGATTTGTAAGCAAAATAGAAGCCCCGGTATTAAAGGGACAGTGGCAGAATGGATACAGAACTGGCTGCGAGACAGAAAGCAGAGTGGTGGTTGTTTTTCTGATTGGAGAGAAGTGTGCAGTGGTGTGCCCCAGGGGTGTGCTGTATAATTCTATAAGATCTAAAGATGAGTCTTTCCCAATGCTGATGTGCCTCAATAAGCACAAATTCTACCCTCCGCTGTGACGCATCTGGACTAATAAAGCAGTGAATTTATACAGTGTGTCTTATAAAGACGTCTGAAATTGTGCTTACATTAAGACAAGACATGTTTCCCTGATTTAGCAATATCAGCCATACCCAAAAACCAAGCAAGTGTGTTACAGCTTTGTAGCAAACCATCTGTTATACATGGTTTAATTACAGTTGGAAGCTGGAGGAACTCAGTGAAACATTAGCGGTGAAATAAAATATGCCAATTAAAGGTCCCCTCCCAAATGCAAGATATAAATATCCAATGCAGAGGTATCCAAAACCACTTACTTAGACAACTGTTACCTTAAATCATAATCAAGCACATGTCCATAGCATTTGTGATGAATTAGCACCATTGAGCAATGCCAACTCCTGAGTGGCCAAGGAATAAAGAACTTATTCCCGTTGGTGGGTTAATCTGTCACTATGGCACACAGTATCACAGGAGTGTCACTGGAAGACTCCAGGGGTTAGAAGAATCGCTTTGACACGTAGGGTTATTAGAACATGGAATACTTTGCTGGAAATAGCTATCAAGGCTGCCATCATCACTACATTTGAGCAATATTTGATGAGAAGCAACCTGGGAGCAGGTAACTGGGATTGGTGTAGTTAGCTTCAGTGGAAGAGCTGGCACCAACAAAGGGTACTTGGGCTGAAATCTTTAGGATTCTATTCATCAACAACCAATGAGATTCCCTTCAATCTTTCACAGCTCCCCAGTAGATAGATGTTTGGTACCAATAGCTAGTGAGCATCATTAATAAGTGTCCCACAAACAGCCATGGATTGAGTAACTGAGTTTTTTTTGGAAAAAAATCCAATCAATCTCCGTTTGGGTGACACTGCTGTGCGCAACTGGCTGCTGTATTTCACCCACAAAATATGCAGGCAATTCACTTTACAGCATATTCTGTGAAGCGCTTTAAGATGTCTCGAAGACATGATCATGCACTATTATCAAATGCAATAATAATAAAATAATAATAATCCTTGCATTTGATATAGCGCTTTTCACGTCGGGAGGACGTCCCAAAGCACTTCACAGAACATACTGTAAAGTGAATTGACTGTATATTTGTGGGCGAACGCGGCAGCCAATTGCACACAGCAATGTCCCACAAACAGTCATGGATTGAAAATGACCAATTTATTATTGTTTTTTTTTTTGGAGGGATTATTATTGGGCTCTGTGTGGAGTAAGGAAACTTGCCCAAGGTTTCGCCCTCTGCCTGGAATTGAACTTAGGTCTCTCGCTTGCAAAGCGAGTGCTCTAACCACTGAGCTACAGGACTCCACAAGGATTATTATTACTATTATTACCCCCATGAAAAGTGATCCGCAATCGACTAGCAACCTGGATCTTACTGCTCGGTAAACAGTGGGGTAAGGAAACTTGCCCAACATTTTGCCCTGCCTGGGAATCGAACACTGGTCTTGAGCTTGCGAGGCGAGTGCTCTAACCACTGAGCTGCAATGACCAATGCCCACACTCACCTGACACGTTCCATTTCGCTGGCAGTTTTCACCACCGCGAAAGGCTCCCGTCGACTCCAGTCCCAGAAATGGATCTCATTTGCAGTAGCGATTAGTAGGAGTTGGGCCATAGGATGGAAGGCTAAGGATGCTATGGCTACGTTATTCTCAGTAAACCAACTCTCACTGCCTCCCTGAAAGAGGAACAAGTCAATGAAACACATTTATGCTGCATCAAATGAAAATACCACACAGTGATCCCTCAACAAGGTTTTGCAATATAACTCACATGTAAATCCCAGATTCGAACCTCGCCATCTAAACATCCTGACGCCACGAGCCCTTGGATGGTCGGGTGGAATGTCACACACCAGGGTGTTCTTCTGTGACCCACCAGTGAATGAATACATTTCCCAGACTTGACTTCAGTAATGTAAATATTGTGATTGACATGGGTGGAGGCCATTAAAGTCCTAAAAGAAAGATTGTTTTTAAAAATACAAAGAGACAAAGCAGGAGGCCATTTTACTGCAACATTACAATTTACAAAAACACAAACTAGAGAGCGGACTGCCTTCACCTTATACCCTGGAGATTTTGAGCCTCAGGCTTGGTGACAAGCTCCATAAGAGGTGGATGTTGTGATAGAACTCCAGCCAGCAGGAGGCACAGTGCCAGGCCACAGGCTCAAACAACAAAGCCTTTCACATCCAGAGGACGCTCCAAAGGCACTGGACAGTCAGCAATTTGGACCCGAGCAGGGGGTTGGGGTCAGGAGGGATTGGGATCAATAGGGTGGACCAATGGTGGAGTGGAGGGGACAAGGTCACCAAGCCACCAATGGTGGAGTGGAGGGAACGAGGGACAAACATGAGGTCAGAGCCAACTGAACGGATGGAGTGGTTGGTAAGCATATCAGAAAGGTAGGGAGGTGCAAGGGCATGAAGGCATTTGAAAAGGAGAGGATCAAAATCGATCCGTTTGGTAATTGGGAGCCAGTAGAGCCTGGCAAGTACTGGTGTGATGAGGTAAGAGTTTTGTGCAGGTGAGTATCCAGGTGGTGGAGAGAGAAAATAGCAGAAAATGAGTGTGAAGTGTCTCCTTTCCCTATGACCAAACAGGAAATTCTGTGCAGGAATTCCTACAATTCTATAGGGAACTGAGATGAGAGCAGTTAATCGAAGAGTTGGCAGGATTGGCTTGGTGAGCCAAAATGCCTTGTCCTTATTCTGCAACTCCTATGATTCGGCACTAGTGTCTGGCGAGGGTTGGTATAGACCTGGCAAAAGGTGATCTGCACACTTGGTAAAGTCAACTGATGCATTGCAGTGAAAAAATGCTTTCCCCTGAACGGGGATCAGTTAAAGTGCTTAAATTTCAGGAGTACACTGGCAGACTAAGGGTGAGAAGAATAAAAGAATGTTTATAGTGAGTGGAGTATTTTAAAAGCACTTTTAACATAGAACAAATTAAATTGCATTACACTAATGTCACCCGGCACCCACTCTATTTCCATAAGTGACCTGCAGAGGATCTTTTTGTAAAGAGTGAAGTCTGAATGCTGAATACGTCACGATTCTCCCAGTGACACAAGGAGGGATGGACATAGCTATTAATTGTGCGATTGGCTGACAGAATGGTCAACTGTAAGAGTTGATTGACAGTTTACCCACAAAATACAGTTAATTCACTTTGCAGTATATCTTGTGAAGGGCTGAGACGTCTTAACGATATGATAAGGCGCCATATCAAATGCAAGGATCTTATGATTATTATATTATTGGGGCTCGGACAGGAGGAAACAGTCACAGTGAAAGAGGTGGTCGTAAGGTAACCTGGAAGTACTCCAGGAGAGCATCCCACCTAGAGAACATTCTGCAGCCCCAATGGCCCCAACAACTGTTTTGCAGCAAACGCTCCAGTGATGGAATCTGGTCTGCAGCTAAAACACTGTGCCCAGCCCCTTCTGGCTGCACCTGATCCTAAACTGCTGTTCCAGTTGCTTCCTGGTAGCTTTAATAAAATCATCCGTCATTGGTGATATTCAAATCATCATTCAATTAACAATCAAGAGACATTTGCTGAATGCTTAACACTGGTTTGATGTCTGCCAGATTATCGATTCCATTCTGAAGGCACCATGGCCCATCCCTTATCATGTCACTGCGAGAACTTGTAACACAACGCCTCTCCCGGAAATGTGTTCAGTATCCAGACTTGAGCATCTATTAAAGTAGCTGCTCTGGCACCTCCCTTTACTGGCTGTTACTAAATGCAGTGCTGGGTAGATTTTGGTGGTGGATGTAAAAGCAGATCCAAGAATCAAATGGATTGACCACGGGGACAGATTTATATTTCACGAGCAGTTGAATGGGTGGCCTAATTACAAGGTGATGTCCAGTTGTACCCAGGCCCATTACCTCACTGCAATTTATCTTCCCCAGGGAAGACCGACCCAACCCCCAAGTCTTCTAGCCACAATGGCTTTGGTGTTCCAGCATTGGTGGCTGAGCTTTCAGCAACTACGCCCCAAACTCTGGAACACTCTTCCTCTATCCTTCCACATTGCCCCTTCCGTCCCCATTTCAAGTTGCACCTGAAGTCCTTCGTATTTAACCGTGCGTACGATCATCTCCCCCTCCCTCGGCTTGGCATAATGCCCCACTACTGTCAAGCTCTCTGGGACATTACCCTGCCCGAGGGGTGCTATATCAATGCAACTTGTTGTTAAGTTACTTTCAACATAGAATACCAGCGATGCTGTACAGCAGATGTCCCGACTCCAACACCACCTCTCCCCTGGGAAATAAATCCTCAGTCATTGGAGGGGGGGGGGGAAAAAATGTCAAAAATGGAATGAACTCATTTAACCCAGTTAAAATAAATAACTTTTGAAAGAAGAAACATGTACAAATTGCTGACAGGAAAAGTGAAGGTAATCTGTAGTTATCTGGGCTGAGGTTATTGCGGGTTTACTGCAGGCAATTTGGCAGAAGAGAGCAACGCATGCATTTGTTGATCTCATTGCCGGCTCTGTGACAGCTGCTTCTCAGCAACATGAAATCAGTCTAATACCTGCACAGTTTTTTTGCAAGACGTACATCATTAAATCTTTTTTTTTTAAAAAAACGCCTTTCCCCTGAAAGCTTCACCCTATTTTACAGGCAAATTATTACTTTTTTTTTAAAAAAAACGCCTTAAAACTTGCACATACAGAGCTGTAAAGATATTTTACTTCTACCTTTTTCATAGTAACAGAGAGGTACAAAAGTGGTCCCGAGATCTTAACTCTATCCTAGTGAGAAGGATGGAGAAGTTGTGGACTGGGGAGTTTGCCTCGAACATCAAAGTACATTTGTATCGCGCTTTTCATGTCGGGAGGATGTCCCAAGGTGCTGGACAGTAAAGGATTTGCACCCAAGCTAAGGGTTGGACAAGGAGGGGTGGAGGGCAGTGAAAGCAACAGTTGAAGAGGAGGGTCTTAAGACGTGCCTTGAAGGAAGCAAGGGGCGAAGAGAATGTGGGATGGAGTTCCAAAGGGCAATTCTCGTGCTTTCTCAGTGGAAGCAAGATGATGGTTTTGTGGGGGCAGGGCGTAAAAGCCTCCTTCACTTTAGTCCATTTCCAAAAGCTTCATGAACCCAAATGATTTTGGTCATGTGGCCACGTACCTGTCTGGGCTAAACGCCAGGAGGAAAGTTGATCGTGGGCTGTCAGGAAGTTCGACTTTCTGTCGAGAAAAAAAAAGAAAATTACATTGAATACAAAAACAACAATAAGACTCATATTGGATATGGCATCTATAATGTGGAAACTCTAAGTGCTTTACTACTAATAATAATCATTGCAATTGATATAGAAGCTTCACAGTCTTTTCTGTGAAAAGACTATTTGTACATAAATGTGGCAGCCACATAAGTCCAACTTGGAATTTTCTATTTTATGACCATTAAATTTCTTCCTAAGTTTCTTCCCCATTCCCCACCCCCAAATTGGCGACATACACCACCACCACAACTAGTCCCTTACGCCCCTCATGCAGGGTAGCATCCCAGAGTACTTGATAATGGAGGAGCATGAAACCGAGCCAGTGGGGGAGGTGATCGTAGGCACGGTTGAATAGGAAGATCTTCAAGCACGACCTGAAGATGGGGAAGGAAGGGGAAAGGCAGAGGGATAGACACAGAATCCTTAAATTAATAATTAGGCAATGGTAGTACACACCAAGGAGTAATGGAGAGAAAACACCCATGGTTCCCAGTGACCTTTGATGATGAACGAGTGTGTGCAAACATTGGATCAAATTCAGCTATGATGCCTCAGCCCACACTCTGCCCATAGATTTTTTGGTCAGCCGGGTGTCTGACACACGCGGCAACCCATCACCTCCAAACCAAGCTGAGATTTCCATGCATCCCCACCTACAAGTGGAAATCCCAGAGACAGATTGTTGGAATGCAATATGTACTCTTTCCCTGGAGGGATGCATCTTGCTTACCTAATTCCGGAAAGTATTAGGGGCAGGTTGGCAAGAGCCAAGGCTTGGGGACCCCAAAGTGTGTGTTGGGATAACTGCTGGAGTCTAACCAGCTAAAGCTGCATAGCTTGCCATTGATATTGCAAGCTCCTGACAGGATCACATATGAAGAGTCTCAGAGCAGGTTCACAGAGTGTGACCACAAAAAGACAGTTTGGCCAAACAACCTGCTTATTCAATACAAGACAGACTTGCGATATTGCTCACCTGACTTTCCCATCGCATCCACCGTGTCTTGTCCTCCACCAGCTCCTCCAGGCGTCGTTGGCAGCCCAGCCCCTGGGAGCCCTGCTCTCTGCTGGTTAGGATCTGGATCGCATTCTTTCGGTCAATGCTCCTCATTGCTACTGAGATCAACCCTCTGCCAACTCACAGCTTCCAGGGGCCAGGGATTGGGATCACCAACTCAAGGCAGAGGCCACAGATAAGGACAGTCCATACAGGATCTGTTGGGACAGTGGTCATACAAACACTGAAAGAAAAATTAGACACCATTTGCTTTGTTCAGAGCTGTGTTGAACAACAACACTAACAGGTAGTCTATCTACTACAGTATCCTTGTCCTGGATAAATAATAGCTTTCATAACTGTAAAGGCTGCTCATTGTCAAGCTAATCATCCTTGTGTTTGATATCACGTCGGAGAGACGTCTCAAAATGCTTCACTTGAAAAGTGTATTGACTGTGTGTTTTATGCACAAAACACAATAGCCAATCGCGTACAAAAGTGTCCCACAAACAACCGTGGATTGAGTGACCAAATTATTATATCCGGGAGGATTATTATCCTCAGAAAGAGATCCGTCTATCGAGTAGCAACCAGAGTTGCCTATATACAACAAAAAATACTTAAGACTTCACACACTTAACATGCTTGATGTATTTTAAGGCGATTATAAAAAAAACTAATTTTATATACATTTGCTCTCTCCCTGCCCTCAGAAATGGGAAGATTACCACTTTGGTAGTAACAAGCAATGCTATTCAATAGAGTAGAATTAATGCAAACTGCACAGCAACATTCTTTTTCAACTGTATTTTGCACACAAATATACAGTCAATTCACTTTAGTTTATTCTGTGAAGAGTTTGAGACGTCTAGAAGACGTGAAAAGCGCTCTATCAAATGCAAGGATTATTATGATTATTTAAATCCCCATTTATGAAATTGCTTTCAAGGTGACTCCTGCAGTCGCAAACTACTGTGGACAAGCATTCTCACGATTCCTCCCCTGAAAAAAGCCCTTACACTGCATTTAGAGCATCTCTCCATCTTTAAAGCTGAGCTGCACAAAAGCCTACATCTCAGCCAGTCAGCACAAGGCAAAATGCACATTAACTGGGATGATGGGCCCTGGAATCCCATTTCCTTTTCACACGCGTGGCTGTGAAATCAACAGCCAGATTCGGACTATGTCAGCCCTCATCAGACTGCATAATCCTTGACCTGCAAATCTGCACGCAAGTCATTGCAGCAGAAGGCAACAAACATTGTAGTTATTACCGCACAGTTTAACAACTCCCACTGCTTCAAGTCATCTAGGGCTGGAAAGTGGATATTTGTACAGCGCTAATCTGTCAATTTCAGCTGCAAAAGGGGAATTTCAATACATTTTACACTTATGCACCTGCCTTTCATGTAAAAAGAAACTTCTTCATGAAATGAGATTAGTTAGTCATATAATATAATAATCCTTGCATTTGATGTAGCGCCTTATCACACTTTCGAGACGTCTTAAAGTGCTTCACAGAATATACCTTAAAGTGAATTGATTGTGTACTTTATGGGGGAAACGCAGCAGCCAATTGCACACAGCAGTGCCCCACAAACATTCGGGGATTGAGTGACCAAATGTTCTTTTCACGCGTTTTTTTTTTAAAAAGAGATTACCACCCCCGGAAAAGCGATCCTTCAATCGACGAATAAACAGGTTCCTGCTTACTGCTAGCTAAACAGAGGCATATGGATTAAGGAAACTTGCCCAACATTTCGCCATGCCCAGAAATAAAACCCAGATCCTCTCACTTTCAAGGCAACTGCCCTAACCACAAAGCTTGAAGTGAATGTTGGTATGGAGGCAAGTGCGGGAACTAATCTACACCAGTAATGTACTCCAAACAATGCGAGAGTGAGAAGTGAGTATAAACCAGAATAACTGGGAGAAAATATTTTTTTTAAATTCTCTTTGAAACATTCAGTATCAAGGTACAAACCGACTCAATGAACCCCAAGTCCAAAGGTTGACAAAAATCACATGCAACTAATCAAAAGTATAATTTTGGCTGTTGCCTAACTCTTTGGCTACTGAATGCCGAACGTCTTATTTGAGAAACATCTGCAGCCCACATAAGCAATACTTTGAGATTTCCCTTCCAGAAACATAACATTTACGCGTTATGGAGGGAGCGGTTGGGTTAGATGAAATGGTGGGTGGGGGCAATTGGACCACCTCGACTTAAACCAATGCAAAAAGATGGGCCGAATGGCTGCCTTCTATGTTGTATATTTCTGTGAAAGTGGATGGACTGTATATTTTGTGGGCAAAACACAGCAGCCAATTGTGTACAGCAGTGTCCCACAAGTAGTCGTGGATTGAAGTGACCAATTTTTATTATTTGAAGGAATTATTTCCCCTGGAAAAGTGATCCGCCAATCAAATATCAGCCAAGTTCCTACTTATTGATAAAGTAAACAGAGGCGTGTGGAATAAGGAAGCTTGCCCAACACTTCGCCCTGCTGGGAATCAAACCCAGGTCTCTTGCTCTAACCACTGAGCAAGTGTTAGGCCACCACATCTGGAATCAATGCAGCGAAAACTCGGGCCGAAAAGCGCTGCTGGCATTTGTTTACTCATGGCTTTAAGGCAAATATATTTTCAACTGAAATAATTTCCACTCTTTCCTGACAGTTAATAATAATAATAATCCTGGCATTTGATATAGCGCTTTTCACGTCGGGAGGTCATCCCAAAGCGTTTCACAGAACACACTGTAAAGTGAATTGACTGTATATTTGTAGGCGAACGCGGCAGCAATGTCAGCAATGTCCCACAAACAGTCGTAGATTGAAAATGACCAATTTTATTATTTTTTTGGGAGGGATTATTATTAGGCTCTGTGTGGAGTAAGGAAACTTGCCCAAGGTTTCGCCCTCTGCCTGGAATTGAACTCAGGTCTCTCACTTGCAAAGCGAGTGCTCTAACCACTGAGCTACAGGACTCCTGTACACTGTTTACACTTTGCCTGTGCTTTGCATCCGCTCTCCATTTTTTAGTCCAGGTGGCGGGTGCAAAAAGGAAGAGCTGAATGGATACAGCAAGGATTGAGTCTGGTTTAAGAACGCAAATGCATTGAAATACCACCATGCAGCCTGGTTTCATTTGAAAGCCAAGATTCAATTTCCAGAATAACAATCAAATAAATGTGTTGCTCATCCTTCATTTCAAAGCAAAAGAGGCAGAATTATAAACTTCAAATATTTCCAATTCCAAGGATTTGCCATGTACCGAGGAAACATTTATTGCTGAACATTACAAACAGAAGCACTGTCATCCATTTTTTTTAATCTTAACTTCTTTTGAGGTCATCCTCTTATTAATAAAAATGCAATCCCAAACCTCAATGAAAACTATTGAGTACATCCTGGACATAACAGCATTTTTAAGGCAGCTGCACTGATGATTCAACTGGTAAACCCAGTGAGGAACATGCAAACTCCAGGTTTAAAAAAACTATGCTCGACTTCTAATCACTATCCATCACTTCCAGCTGTTTGTTACGTGTGTGGCTGCGAAGCAAAAGGCTATTATCTAACTTGGGTATGATGTGCTCTCCACTTCCCTCCCTCTTTAACCTTCCCACCTCTCTCCCCCACTTTTCATTCTCTCTCCAACCCTACTGACATTCTTCTCGACATTTCTCCTAACTTTCCTTCCCCCTTCTCTCTTTTCTTCTCCCCCTAACTGTCCTACTTTGGGTGGAATCTAAAATTCACTTTGCTTCAAAACCAAACTTCAGAAGCTTAGCCCTGCGCTCAATTGAAGGCACGTGCACACTACAGAGGAGTAAATATTACTGGCATTTGATACAGTGCTTTGAGGGCAAAAATGTCTCAAAGCTCTTCACATGTAATTACCATCAAGTGTAGTCACTCTTTGGAGGCAAATGTAGTCAGCAATTTGTACTGTAGGTCTGATTAAACAGCCATGAATGACCAATTTTATCTAGAGGACTGTTACTGAGCATAACAGAAAAATCTCCCTTCTGTTTTCAAATAGTGGATGTTTAACATCCACATGAACAGGCAGACAGGAGCTCTGCATCTCTCACAAAGCAGAACTCCCCAGTACTCTGCTGGAACATCAGCCTGAACTATGAGCCTCTGGATTCACTGCACACAACTTAAGAGTGGACATCAAGGCTCGATTATGGAAATTCCCTCCTCATCGGCCTTCCCAACTATTCCCTTCGCAAGCTGCAGATCATCCAAAACTTTGCAGCCGTGTACTCTCACGCACCAGGCTCCGTGACCAAACACTCCCACCCTCGTCCGACTCCACTGGTTCCCCATCCCTCAGAGGATCGAATACAAGATCCTTGTCCTCAATTTCAAAGCCATCCATGGTTTTGCCCCCTCCTACCTCTCTGACCTGCTGACTCCCTACCAACCTGCCCGTTCCCTCTGTTCAGCGGGCTTCGGCCTGCTCATGACTCCCGCCCGACCATCAGTTGCCGAGCTTTCAGCCTCTCTGCCTCTACACTCTGGAACTCCATCCCAGTCCCTTTGCCTCAGTTCCTCCCTTGCCTCCTTCAAGGCCGATTTCAAGACCCTCCTCTTCGACCGTGCTTTCGGTCGCCCTCCCAATCCCGCTACCTTCCCGCACATCTACCCTACCCTTGCCCCATACTCGGGTCCTGACCCTTGACTGTCCCTTGCCGACGGGAAAGGCGCTCTATAAATGCTGGACAGTCAGAACAAACATAAGCTATGATATTCAAGCAAGATGCCACCATAAAGTAATTCTGATCATCTCATTACTCCAACTATCTGACAAGTCATCTGTGTCCTGTGTCTTGCCATCAGAAATGCTGAGAGTGAAAAACAAAACACAGTAAGATTACAGAACTTGCTCCAAATCATTGTAAACATGCTCTACTTACGTGGAAGCACTTTCAATGCAAAGCAAGCATGTCCCTCACCGAGCCTCACTATTCGTTTTTAATTTTCTTCAATTAATATTTTTGACTATGTTCATCCTCAAACAGAAATAGCAGGCCTGTGGGTGGGCAACTAGCTTCAGAGTCAAACATGTTCAGGAAAGATACAGTGTGGGCAGATGCGGTGCAAATCTCCTGTGCCAATAATGTCTCTCAAAGCTAATGGCATAGTATGAATTTTCCCAATTCCACATGACCTCTTGATGAATGAGATTGATATCTCGGTACCAACTTGTGGAAGGGTTTGTCCTGTAGAA